GGCATAGATGGAGAAGTTCAAGTCAGGGATGCATTGAAAAGTGTTGGGTATAGCTAGCATAGCCAGGTTAAGAGAATTCGAGAGAGCACTGACCCTTGAGGTGTTCCGAAGCTGCCTAGTGTATAGGGCGAGGAATGTTCTGGTCTTAATGTTAATGTAGCTGTGCGGTCTGTGAGGAAGCTTTTGATGTAAGAGTACATTTTAGCGCCACAAGAAATGCAGTTGAGCCAGCATATATAGCTGAGTGGGCTACGTTATTGAATGATCCATGTATGTCCAGACCAAGGATTGCCTGAGTATCCCCGCTCTGGTGAGGAGTTATGATGTCGTGTTGAAGGCGAAGCATCGCATCTTGCACTGAAAGTGAGGCCCTAAAACCAATCATTTCTGGAGGCAGTAGTCCATTATCCTCCACGTGTCTCTGGAGGCGTGCAAGCACAACATGCTCCATAGCCTTTCCGAAACACGATGTTAAGGAAATGGGCCTCAGATTTTCTACCAAGGGAGCTTTGTTCGGTTTAAGTACAAATATGACTCTGGCATCTTTGCACGAAGGTGAAAGGATGCCCGTGTTAAAACAGTCGTTAAAGTACTCAGTCAAAGCTTTATTAGAAATAGGGTCAAGATTTCTAATTTGTTGTTAACGCGGTCTGGGCCTAAGCCAACGTGGTACGGAGTGTTGCGAGGGCGTGCCTCACTTCTGCTTCCGTTATCGGCGCATCTAATGACTCATTATGTTTTCCTGTGTAAGATGGTATAGAATCCTTACGTAATTGAGGTAAATGCAATGTGCGGAGGTTATCGAAGAGCTGTCCTAAATGGTCACTGTGCTCGTGTAACAGTTTAGTGATAGCGTGAGAGTGTCGTGCGCGAGAAGTGCTGGGGTCTGGCAGATGTCTAAGAAGTTGCCACGTTCGTTTATTACTGAGGTGGTCAAGCATTCCCTCACAAAGCTGACCCCATTGTTGTGCCGCCAATTGAGTCGTGTATCGCTCGATTTGTTGGTCTAGCTTCGCTATTCTAATGCGGAGTTTCCGGTTGTGGCGCTGGTGTTGCCACCGTCGCAGATGTGACTGTTTTGCTTCCCACATATGGAGAACCTTGGAGTCGAGAGTAGTTATCGGGGTGTCAGGGGGTAGAGTTCTCGTGTGAATTTCAGCATCTTTTTAAGCTGTTGAAACAACTCGGTAAGGTCTGCAATACGTGAGGGAGCGGTGCTGTTGCGGGTCTCTCTAAATTTGTCCCATTCTGTGAGCATCAGTGGTTTAGGTGAAATGGGTCTGTGTTTTAGTTGTAAAGTAATGCTAATAATGTAATGATCACTGCCAAAATTAGTTTGGATGTTAGTCCAAATCATTGTGGGGGCATTGTGAGTGAGGGTAAGATCGGGGGATGTTTCTTAGTTCACACAGTTCCCCAAACGAGTAGGCTCCTCCGGGTCGTTGTGCAGCGTAAAACGATGTGCCTGAATATGGGACCAGAGGGCTCTACCTCTCGGTGTAGATGCAGTGTAATGCCACGCTGGGTTGGAGGCGTTGAAATCCCTCACTATGAGGAGGGTGTGTTCGCCTGCCGAGGATGTAGCTCGGGCAAATAGGGAATCGAAGCGGTGCCTTCGCTCTTGTGGTCTACTATATACGTTAAGAATGTATAAGAATGGCAAGTTATGTTTATCAGGTAGTATTTGGAGAAAGTCGTGCTCAATATCGATGTCAGCAAATTTTGAATAGGTAACTGTAAGGTGCTTCTGAGTTAAGACAGCAGTGTTTGGTTTGGCATCACCGGGTTTTTATGCGTTCTATAACCTGGCAGCTGCACTACACCATTTGTTTCTTGTAACGGAATGATTGGGGGAGGGGTAGTTTGTGATTTGATGTACTACAGGAGGTTTGCCTTTTTTCAGCGAAACCTCCTGCAGTTTCATTGCCAAACGCAAAGTTCAGTGCGGTTACAAGGAGCCATTTTCGCTAAGTTGATTTGGCTTAGGTTGGGCAAGCTCTGTATAGTTAGCGTGGACCGTGTGGATCCACATCCACAGCATGACTCTATCTAGGGTTTGTTGCATCGGTAACATGGCTTGTTGTGTCGAGGCCACGGATTCATGTAGCTTCTGCAAGGAAGCTGTGGAGAAGGCAATAAAATTGTCTAGTTTTTCCTCAATTTTAATTACTTTTTTTTCTCTTTGTCAACCTTCTCTAGTTTCGCTTCGACTTGGTGTACTCGCTCACCGAATGACAATGTGGGAGTCGAGACTTTTCGTTTTTGCGCAGGTGGTTGAGCGGGGTGCCTAGCTATAGGGGTGGTTGAGAGAGGAGTTTGTGCTGGTGAGATAGGCGTAGGGGTGAAAGATGAGGCGGGGAGGTGTGGGGAGGTAGATGGTTGTTTGAAGGACTGAAGCTCTATGCGTAGTTTTGCATTTTCTGCCCTTAATTTCGCCATCTCATTCTGCAATAGTTTGAGCTGCTTTTTAAAGGAGCTTTCAGGGGAGGCTACATCAGCCCAGCTCACCTCGTGTCCAGGGCCAGTCGAGGGCTGGGGTCTTGATGAATGCCTTTGTTGTGGCTTCGGCTGCGGCTGCGGCTTTTTCGGCTTTGCTGTCTTGTGATACTGGGTGAGCGTCCTCTAGGAGCGTTCTTGAAAGATGGGCTTGGGTCGAGGAATGGAGCTGCATCTTGCTCGAAAGTTGAGGGTGCGTGCTTTGGTTTAGGCTTGTAGAGCTGTGGGCACTGGGGCGAGCCGGTGGGGTGGTCACTGTTGCACACCACACGCTTGGGTTCACATTCGTGATCAAGGAGTGGATTCGGAATGCCACACATTGGACATAAAGGCTGAGGGGTGCCTCGGTATACGTCTGGTCTGTGGCCAAGTTTGCGGCAGAGATTTAAGGCTTCCGTCTTATGACGATAGGGTACGCATCTGGTGTTGCCACCCTGATAACTTATGTAGAAAGGCACGCGCGTACCTCTGAAGGTGACCAAGATGGACGTTGTGGAAACCATGCGACATCCGGTCAGGATGAGGCCTAGTCTGTCATAGTCCAACAGACTTGACAAGATGGTTTCAGATGTGTGTTCTATAGGAATATTACGGATGACTCCTCGGCAGGTATACGATGGATCGGTAATGTGGGGGACCACTTCAAAGCTGCGCTCGTCCATCCTGATGGATTTGATACGGTGGTATGCTTCGGTGCGGGCCGAGTCCGGTATGGTTATGAGCAGAATGTTGCTTACAGAGTAGATGCTGTATTGGTCATGTAGGGAGCTTGTGAGCGCTGCCGCTTTTAGGACGGAATGAATGAGCTTCGGAAGTGGAGTGTCAGCACAGCTGAGGCATCCACGTATTCGCAGAACTATTTTGTAGTCGTCCGCTGGAAGTGGAGGGAGTCTGGGGGCAGTGCGACGAGTCTATGGGAGAGCTTTCTGTGACTCTTCTTGCGAAGTGTTGATGTCAGGCGTCGATTTCTTCGGGGATGAAGCGGGCTTTCTGGCCCTGGCATACACTTCACGCCAGCTGCCTTCATCATCGTCGAGAGCTTCGGCGGAGGGAAGCTCCTCTCCCTCTGTTTCGAGGATGATCATGTTGGTAGGCCTAGCCGGTAGGCCCACCGAGGTAGTCGAACGCTGCCAAAAAGTCGATCTTCGTGGATGCGAACTGCAAAGCACTCACTTGAAATCACTTCTGATGATGCGGTCGATTCCGTAGAAAGCTTCACATTTGTTCAAGTTGCCATTAGAATGACTTAAACAGTCAGAAACAGGAGTTTTGCTGGAGCGCCATGGCAGGCAGATCGGCACCTGGCGTCGCATCACCGTCGTGACGCTACGAAACGATTGCCGGCGCGCACGTGCACCTGGTCCCGTCGAAGTGTATTGGTGAAGTGAGGCATGGACTCATGTTCTTACATGACACGCATCTCGTTATTATCATGTTCGCACCAGTCACACACCTTCGTCATCCATCCACGTCGCGTATTACCAAATTTGGTATATGTGAAGCTATAGCCAAAGGGCCACGAGCGCATCATCAGCGTGCTGGCATGTAGTCATGTTATTACATGACACGCACTTGATGATTATCATGTCTGCACCAGTGACATACCTTCGTCATCTATTCGCGTCTCGCGATACCTATTTTGTATAAGTGAAGCTAGCTGAAATGACCGCGAGCGCATCATGATCATGGCATGTAGTCATGTTCCAACATGACACGCATCTCATGGCTATCATGTGTGCACCAGTCATATACCTTGTCAAGCATTCACGTCCCGTAATATCATATTAGGTTTATGTGAAGCCAGCTGAAACGACCGCAAGCGCACCATGAACGTGGCGTGTAGTCATGATTCATAGCCTACATGACATGCATGTCATGATTTTCATGGTAGGGTATGTCGCTTGCGTTCGTCATGCAGTCATGTTGTACCATACTAGTTTTGCAACATGTTATGTGAACGAAACCACCGCGAGAGCAAACATGAAATGTAAACCACAAGTTGCATGACACACATCTCATGATTTTCATGTTATGACTAGTCAAATACGTTTTTCGTACAGTAATGTTATGCAATATCAAGTTTGATATCGATACCGTTATTGAAACGGCCAGGACAGCTAAAGGTCTTAGGCGACTAGATAGATAGATTGACAGACAGACAGACAGACAGACAGATACGCTCAAAGTCGCCGAAGTTCGCTAAGACATGCTTCACATATATTAAGTTGTGTAAGGGCTTATCGAAAGTATAAGCTAAGCACTACTGACTTCTGGCTGGTCGTTTCGTTTTAAAAAAGAATACTATGGGAGAGGTATAAAACAAGTGGGACCAATATTAACATGAGATATCTGAGACTGTCTGAAGGCTTGTCAACGCGCGGATGTTTAGGTGCTGAAATCTACGAAGAACAACGGAATTGTGGGGCGTGTCTGAGTGAGCGAGAATATCGTTTTATTAGGAGGCGTAAACGCCAGCCTGATCTGCAGTGGAACCCCTGTCCCAGGAGGTGTGCCGGGAGGCCAAGGACGTGCGTGGAATCGGCTTCGACGCCACCTGCTCCCTCGTGCTCCTGGATGACACCGGTCGACCACTCACCGTCAGCCTGAAAGGTAAACGGTGATGGCTACTGCACATTAATAACAAAATGAACAACTCACAGGGTTCCCCTTCGGCATTTTACTAGGACTCGAAGCCATCGCTTCTTTTTAGGGGCGAAGCTCCTTAAAGCGGCACCCATTCGTCCCTCGTAGTCGTAAGTCGTAGTGTGTAACAAGTGTTACATTTTGACCTGCAAGGTGGTGCCGGTGGGAGATTTCTCCTGTAGGTTTGTTGAACAATAAAAAGTTCGCGGCGTGCGCGTTTTAACTTAAAGCTGAATGCTCCTGCCTCTCATTCTCCATTGGCAGCCATTGGCATATTTCATAGAAAACGTTAGTAGAAGTAGAGGTGTTAAAAGCCTACTTCTGCTGTCTCTCATTCACAGTAGCAGCCATTGTTTACCTCCAAGGTAGTGCCTGGTGAGATTTCTCCTGTGCGTGAACAAGCAATAAAAAACCTTTGTTCAAAACGCCATTGATTGATGAAATAAACCAAAGAAAGACGCCAGATGTTTTCTAAAAGCAAAACAAAAAGACGCCAAATGTTTCTAAAGCAAAACAAAAAGAGGACGCCAGCTTCTTAACTGAAAGACGCCAGGTGTTTTCTAAAGCAATGGTTTTACAATGCAAACCATATTGATACAGGTTTGTAGTTGCCGATGCTCGTTGCCGTCGGCTGCGTGCTCGTATGGTACATTGAGCACTATCTGACAGGAAAAGGTTGCTACGTTATACTCGCTGTACGTAACCTCCTTGGTTTTAGAAAGGTTTAGAGAGTGTTGCGCCGCAGTGCCATGAATACAGTGAACTAGTATATACCATGAACTCGAAGTGGTTAAAGGTGGGAAGTAAACCCGAAGCGCAAGCCGTAAGAAAGTGTGCGTGTGCCACCTCTCGTTTAGTGCTTGGAATGTCAGCTAGATGGCGGTGCTTCTATATGGGGAATATGTGATAATAAGATGGGAGATGGTGGTACTTGGAGTGTTGAATACATGGACGAACGGACACACGGACAGATGCATGGATGGACGCATGAACGGACGCAAGGGCGGATGCATAGACGAACGCAGGGACGGACGCACGAAGAGACGCACGCACAGACGGGCGGATGGACGCATGGACGGTCACACAGACGGACGCATGGACAGACGGAAGCAAGAACAAATGGACGGACGAATGCTTCGCCTCACTCTCTATCATTCACTCCGTAGATATGCTGCCATTTTTTCTTCTCTCTAGCTCTATGTACTGAACCTCTCCTCCAACCGCTTTCTGCCCCTCAGTGGTTTTCTCACTATAGCTGTTATGACGCACGACAGGGCAATGTCACGTGATCATGCCATCACGTGACATGACGTTATGTGACGCCAGGGAGGATTGAAAAAAAAGGGAGCACGCCTAGCGTCCACAAGCCAACCGCCACCTCTCAATCTGCTTGCTTCTCGCTTTCGTACTCATTTCCCATAGTGCACCTGTTTCAATTCTTTTTGTTCGTGGACTCCTCAACAAAACCCCCCAAAACCAAAACTAATGAGTGCACGCGTCTAGCATCCACAGGCTAACCCCTTAAACAGCACAGAACCCGCTTTGAACCTGAAATTTCAATTTTATTACAGTCGTTTCTTTTCATAATAAAAAGGATTTTAATGTAGCTCATACATGGTCTTTCATAACACTTCAGATAAAGGATGCACTTAAGAGCGGAGAGCCAATTTGTTGGAAATGTCCCGATCTCACGTTCACAAGTGCAGCGCGTCGTCGTCTGATGGAGAAGCAGGTTATTAAAGACGATAGTCTCTCTTGGGGACCTTCGACGCGAAAATTTTGGTCTGTCTGTCTGTCTGTCTGTCTGTCTGTCTGTCTGTCTGTCTGTCTGTCTGTCTGTCTGTCTGTCTGTCTGTCTGTCTGTCTGTCTGTCTGTACAATTGTCTGTTTGTCCACCCTTGACGGTACCCTAAACGGCACCAAAGTGGCTAAACTATATTGCAAAATGTAAGAGTACTACGCGGTGGAAAACACGGAAAACACGCTTGTTTTCGTTTTTTCCCGTCCGTGTTTTCTACCGCGTAGTACTGTTAGATCATGTATCACCAACTGACCCAATCGTCCTACCTAGACTATACTGCAAAAGGCCAACCCAATCCACAGCGCCCATTCCGCATTCATACTTGTGCGATTGCCAATTAAAAAGCAATTATTGCGCATATCTGAGGCACCATAACAACACGTCAATATTCTGTATGTGTGTTTCTTAGAAAAGGCATACATAAGTAATTCTAAGAACCGTAGCATTTACGACGTAGCGCTGACCATGAAACGCTTGCATGAAAAGGCAAGTGTTTCCATCGCTTTGCTAAGACGACACGGGGGTGGCACCTACCCGTCGCCTTGCGTTCTACACCTTATGTCACCTCCTAGACGAACGCGCAGGGCGCGCGCATTTTATTTGCCAAGATAACTGCCAGATAGAGCTCATGTCTCAAGTGTGACGTGACTTGATGCGCTCGTTTGCCTCTACTACACGTTCGAAGCACTCTAACGCAGCGCCTCCAGAATACCATTCACCCATTTTCTTGCGCAGAACACCAAATAAACGTTTTGTTCACTCTCTCCAGACGCAGGACTGTCGTTATTCAACGACATATGCAGTGTAACATGCGAATACGGGGCCAATTTTTTATATCCCAGGATCCCTAAGCGCTCATTTCATTTAAAAAATGTGAATAACTATGCACATTGATTCGCAACTCAGCAGAATTTCGTAAAAATTATGAGAAATAAAACTGTTGTACTATAGAATAAAAGGTTTGACAGATCCCACGTTCCTTGGGAATCATTATGCGAAACATGGGCATGGAATGTGTGTTGTGACTTTTTTATTGAGCAATGCATTACGATGTGGCGCTAAAGATATGTACAAATGCACGCACAGATATGCGTTAAGTGGGCGACCAGTCGCATACGTGTTATTGAACCAGTTGTTTACTGTTGCGTAACGATGCCATGAGCAAGATATTAGCAACACCAGAAATGGTAAGCTGACTTGAAGTTCTGGTGCTCGCGAGAATGGTAGCCCTGGACACTGCTACACAAGTCTAACCAAAAGGGTGGCGCCTACCTACAATTGGTGTTAACGCGACATGACGGCGGTATTGTAGGAGCACATATTTCCACGCACACTTGTAGTTTTGTTGTATTTGGTTTGCGCCAACAAAGACTGTCGGCAATGCTCGGCGCAAATCACGCTTCAGTGATCGAGAAGGTTCACTATTGTGAAGAGGGTGCGCTAGACACGAACATTCAAGCTTGATCCAGACATTGCACGACCAACGTTGATAAGGCTGGAAAGATTGATGCGTAATGTATATAAAAAAGGCGCAACCCAACGGTGATCACTTCATCGATATCCGACGCTTCGGTCGCCGCTAACAGTGCCAGTGTGTAATATGATTTATCGCTTACGGGCCACAACTTCTCCCAAATTAAGTGTCATCTTGTTGATACAGTGTGCTGTGTTTGTTAACTTTATGGCCACGTGACTATATGTAATGTTCATAAAGTTGGGAAGACAGCACTGCAACCCCAATTGCTGTCCCCAAACGCTTGGGTCTATTTGTAAAGTAGTTCCGACAACTGGCGTAGCTCTGTGATAGAATACTTGATTACCACGCAGTATACTGCGGTTGATTGCTGCAGGGACGCTAACATTTATCCCTTGCATTCGTCGGGTCAATGCTGCCGATGTCAGGCTTTTCCTTTTTTCGCTCAGGCGTTCCGCCAACACATTACACCACTTAATAACGGAAAGTGTTTGACGACGTATGCGACGACATTGTGACATTTGAGAGGTTTAGTATGGCATTTTTATGCTCCGCTCAGCAGCTAAGCGGAGCGTGCACGCGAGTGCGCATGCGCCCTCCGCCTGGGCCGTAAGCGGGTTAGCGGAGTGAGAGCCACGCTGCGCTTTTAAGGCGCGTTTACACTATGGAGCGACACGACACTTACATGACCCCAACGAAAACACGAGGCAGACGCAAACCATCGGCTGACGAGTCGCCAGACCCCATGGTCCCACTAGGCCAATGACTACGACGACGCCTCAAAAGACAGCATTTCATCGTAGTTTAACATGATGAGAGATCGAAAACACCAGCAAAACGCATCTTGGAGACCTGTCGTCGGCGTGTCTTCGGGGGATCGGTGGCTGAGCGAAAATTTGCCCCACGTCTTTGCTTCAAACGACCACGAAGACAGCAAACTTGGGTGAGTTAACAATGCCCTCTCCGAGGCTTCCGCGGCGTCTGAATAGGTAGCTCGAGCACCCGACGGGAGTGTTTTCTTCGCTTCGCAATTGTGCCCACCACCCCCGTCCCTCGTTACCATGAATTATGGTGGTGGCTGCTCCGCGTAGCAGGAGAAAGACTATGGCTGAGCAGGGATCATGGCTGAAAATGAGGTGCAAGTGTGCAAGTTTGGTCGGTGTGCCTGCGTGTGCCTCAAATGTGACTACAGAAATGGCCAACGGGGATTCGCTCGCAGGATTTCAAGCTGGACAGTTGTGCCCTCGCGATCTCCGACTTCAGCGTAGCTCCCGCCGACTGGTTCGCCCTCCGCGGTCTCCTGACGCCGTGTAGCTCTCGCATTGTGGCACCCCACCCTTGGACTGCTTCGACCGGATCCCCACTTTCCTATCTCCTTCTTTTTTCCTCTCGTTGGCTGTCTTCTTCTGCTTCTACTTTCCTTCTATTCTTTTATCCCTCCTTCCCCCCACCCCTATAAGGCACTGCGCCGTGTCGCCTGAAGGCAGACAGAAATTAGGTGCCTTTTTCCTCTTCATTCTAATCACTACCACCACCACCAATGGCCAACGAAGGGCTCTGAGCATAAAAAATAGCAGTGGCTTAGCTCAGCTATGCTAGGATATACGTAGCGTTAGCAAAGATTCAACTGATTATTCTTAGCTTTCCAGATATCATGCTTAAAACTGTTCCAATGACACACACACGGTATAC